CCAGTTCAGAGTTGGGGATTATTAGGAGGCCAGGATGAAATTTGGTCAGGACACCGGGGTTCTACCCCTACTCTTTTCGAGAAACGCCCTGGGATTTTTAATGACCACAGAGAGTCAGGACCTCAGTTTCACATCTCATCCAAAGGATGGCGCATTTGATGATAAATAGGCTGTTGCTTGAAGACAATAAGATTTATACAACGAAACATGCAAAATCAAACTGTTAGGTAGACTTACCGGTCCAGGAGTATATATAACTCTCAGTCCTGTGGCAGGAGGTGGCTGTTTCACACTGAATCTGTTGAAGCAGAGACAAAATACTTTTGTTTTAAAAAAAGCTGCATCAAGTGAAATATTCACTTCTGAAGCTGGATTTAACATGCCTGAGTAAAAAAAATAAGATTATTTATATTATGAAAGCATTTTCTCTGCAATGATTGCCTTTGATTCAGTATTTCAGCTGAAAGAAGATTAGATAGTTCTGTGTAGCCTACCTAGAACTGGGGTAAAATCTCAAAGATGTCAGGATGCACGACATTTGAAAACCATACTCGGTGCGCAAAGTAAAGTCTCAGATGTAAAAGGAAATCATGCATAACACTTTTTTTCTGCTATTACTTAACTCTACATTTACACAAGAGAAAATATTCAGGGATAAAGTCTCTCTCAATAATGTAATAGGCTTCATGGGCTGCTGACGTCCCCCTCTCCTAAGTGCCACATGTATTACCAGTGTACAATGTGCACACGGCCGTCAGACACCAGGAGCATACACACCTGCAGGAATCGATTCCAACATTCCTCAGTGCGACAGAGACAGAATAGGTGCACCCCTCTCTCAGCACCCCGAAGTCCACTTCTGCAGGGAAGAGCTCAAAACCCCGGCGAACACACTGAAGTGTGCCACTGGCCTGAGGGCCGGCCACTGACACTGTTCTCACCTTCCTCCTCACAGGGTCCTCGACGGCAGTGAACTAGGGCAGAGCACGGGATACTGGAGTGAATCACACCCCCGAGCTGCGGTTAAATCTCTTCCACTGTAAACACTCGGCACAGAGATGTAAGAGACGAAAACAGACAAGTAATTCTGCATTAAGTGTTAAGAATGGCTATTGTAGTAGTGTTCAGTTAGCTATAACTTGATGAGAAGTTAGTTGCGTTTATTCAAACCGTATATTGCTATTTCCGACATTTTACCACAGTATGAAAGTTAAAAAAGGTCCACATCAGCCAGTTTCCACACAGAGGAACGTCTGGAGCCGTATTTCTCCAGGACGGACACTCGTGCCCCTCCGAGGCGCTGGGCCGTCCCGTCCGGGATGTACAGTACCTTCTGGTGCGGCAGGCCGCCGGGCTTGCGGCCGCGGATGGAGGAGGGCAGCTTGACCCTCTCCCTGCGCGGGTTCCCGGCGAGGTCTAACTCCAGCCTGCAGGTCCGGGCGCCGCTGCCGCACGCTGGAGACACGTCCTGCGGCGCTGGTCCTGGGAGAACAACTGAGCCTTTAACTGGGTCCTGCTCACGCTTCTACTTCAGATTCTTCTTGTTCTGACTGCTCTGTAAATTACACTAACACCAAGACGTCATGGGAATAGTGAGTTTTGACTACAGAGTTCTTCCAGTTGTTTCTATTTCTATATCTTATAATGTACATAGTATGTACTGTACAGTATGTGAAGTATGTTCAGTACTGTGTGTATTTTACATGCTTTATAGAAACTTAAAAGATATATGACTGAAATGTATTCCTGTCTTCCCTGGTGTGAATCATCATGATGCCTAATGGGGCTTCTTCAGTCCAGAGGCTTA